TATGATGCGCTCTGGGGCACGCGTGGCTGCTACTTGGAGCTCTGTAGTTAGTATATGGTGATCACTGCCAAGATTCACCATGAGGTTGCACCAGGAATGGTGACTAACGCCCTTGACTATCGTGAGGTCGGGGCATGTGTCCCTGCTCACACTATTACCTAGGCGAGTGGGTTGATCAGGTTCTGTCAGCAAAGTCATGCGATGAATCGCGAGAACCTGTGCGAGTCGTCGGCCTTTAGGCGTTTCTGTTGCGTAGCCCCAAGCCGGATGGGGGGCATTGAAATCTCCTACAATAACTGTTTGTTTACCCAACTTGCAGATTTGTGCGAATAGATTACCGAAGTCATCGTTCCTGGCGTTAGGTGCACTGTAAACGTTAAGCACGTACAGGCTGCTACTGGAACGAGAGCACGGGACTAATTCGAGAAGTACGTGTGAGATGGAGGTGCTTTGAAGGGTATGTTCTATGACAGTGGCATGCTTAGAAACTAATGTAGCTGTGCGATGTGGTGTATTGTTCGTTACGTCCGTGTATGTGGTGTAAACCGGAAGCGTAGGGGTACATTGTACTTCTTGTAACGCTATGACATCGGGAGTAATCTGCTGCGTCGCAATGAATTGCATTAGAGCTCCGTGTTTCCTGCGATACCCCCTGAAATTCCACTGCCACACACGTAGGAGTTGAGGGGTGTCACGCGTTGACCTACGGTTTTTCGCCATGATCATGCAATAGCGGGGCCTCGGTAGTACACGGAGGCATTTCGGACTGTGCTAAATCTTGGTGGAGGGTGGTGGGAAGCGGGACTGCAGCAGCTGCGGCTGTTGGGACGGTTTTTCGGGACGGTGATAGGAAACGGGAGGGGCGTATGTAAGGATGCGGTCGCTGTGTTTCACGTGTCGGAGACGTGGTGCGTTTTGGTGCAGATGGCGAAATATCAAGTTGGCCAAGTGCAGCCGATATCTGCTGTTTAACATCCATTACAATCTGCTGGACAGCAGGTTGCAGGGCCTGCTGGATCAATTGTTGGAGTGGAGCTGTTAGTTCAGCCATAATGCTATCCTTCATTTTCTGCATTTCTACCTGCATCATAGTTGCGAATTCGTTCCTTAAAGAAGTAGCCATTTCGTTCAACGCCTCTCGTGTGCAATAGTCGGATCGTGCCGTAGTTGACGACATGTCAGGGTGAAGCTGAGTGTCTACTGACATGGGTTGTGGTAGTCTAGGTGGCGTTGGTTGTGGTGTTCTTTCCTGCGTTGACTGTTTGTGTGAGGGAGTGGGACTGGTGTGGAGAGGGAGGGAGAGGAGGGAACTGCCCTGCCCAGCTTACCGTTTGTGCTTTCTTGTGGGAACCGCTTTGCTGGCCATGATGATGCGTTGTCCCGTCCGTGTGCCAGCCTTGAGATCCCGGCTGGCCAGCGAAACCACTCCGCGATGACGTGTTTCCTCGCTTGGGCCCCGACTTATCCCTGGAATGGCTCCTTCGCCTGGCTACACTCCCGGACGCACTGCTCTGCCGTCCGGGGCTGGGAGATGGTGACTGAACCTTCTTGGTGGGAGTAGCTGACCGGGGTGGTTTGCGTCGGTTGACAGGTGGCAAAAACCGCTTTGGGCATGGTTTGGCAGCCGTCGGGTGGTCGCCACCACAAAGCATGCAAGAAGGGCGGCCCTCGTGGCTGTTGGGTGATAGTGAATCCCCGCACACTCGACATTTCGGTGTGTCAGGAGGCTGTGGGCACACATCCTCGCGGTGTCCAGTTTTGTTGCACTTTCTACAGTGGGGAATAGTCCGTTTGCAGAGGTAGCAGCGGAGAGCCTGTCCGTACGCGTTCACGAAGAAAGGGACTCGCTTGCCACAAAATGTGAGCACCATTGCTCCGGAGTTGTCGAGGCGTCTGCACGTAAGGACCTCGTAGCCCAGTACTTCAACTTCTGTCAGGAAGTCGTCTGGTGTGATTTCATGGCCTATTCCGATGACCACCCCTTTGCACGAATTATCAGGCGCAATACCTTAAGAGGTGATGTCGTAGGTTGCTGCGTGCACTGTAATTTTGGTGATTTGTCCAAGGGCCATGGCGATGTGTTCAGATGAGGTGCTTATTGTTAGCACATTTTGATTTTCGTCAACTCGAAGCTTGATATCAGGCTTCTCACTGCGTATATTTGCGGCATGAACTACGGCGAGAAGTAATGTCTTGGGGCTAACCTTGCTGAGATTTAATCCACCATGGGGACGGATTGCTAGCTTGTAGTCCTGGGCAGGGAGTGGTGGGAGTCTTGGTAGACGCGTCTTAGGCCGGCTCTGGCGTAGAGCGGGCTCAGACGGCGTGCTGGGCAGCTGTTGAGTCGGTACGGTATGGGGTTGCAGCTGACGGCGTTTGTTCGCTCTCTTGGTAACAGTGATCCATGGATTTGCGTTGTGCTCATCGCTCACCTGCGTATCGGCGTCTTGACTAGTCTGCGTATCCATGTGGTCCGTGGAGCGAGAGGGCAATGAGTGCTTCTCGTCGGCCGCGACGCTCCCAGAGACGCTCGCCATCCGCTTTAGAGCGGGGCGGCGTTCTGTCCAAGCCGCGTCTCCGGCTTGTTAGGGTTAGCGAGGTGGACCTCTTCAAGAACTTTTGGAAGCGTTAAAACGTTTAAAAGCGCACTTACAGGTTGAAGTCCGGTATAGGCTTGACAGTGGTGATGCTAGGAACAAGTTCCTATCGTTGCAAAAGGTCGCCAGGAAGAAATTCTTCTTGAAATTGAACCTGAGCCGGAGCCGATGTGATTCGCGTCCGTCGCATGCTCTCGCTACTCGGCGACCGTCTGCCTTCACTACTCTGTGCCGTCTGCTCACCTCCCCACCTATTCTTCGCCACTTCGACCCGACGACTCCTACCGAAGTGCACACCGACGCCAGCGGCGTCGGGCTTGGCGCTGTCCTCGCTCAACGAAAGCCCGGCTATTCAGAATACGTTGTAGTCTACACTAGCCGCACTCTGATGAAAGCCGAAACTAATTACAGCGTGACAGAAAAAGAGTGTTTGGCTCTGGTGTGGGCACTTGGAAAGTTCCGGCCGTACTTATACGGCTGCCCGTTCGATCTAGTAACTGATCACCACGCACTTCGCTGGCTCTCCACGTTGAAAGACCCTTCTGCCGCCTTGCGCGATGGGCACTCGGCATCCAGCAGTACGACATTCGCGTCGTATACCGCTGCGGACGCAAACGCTCTGACGCTGATGCCCTGTCCCGCTCACCTGTACCACCATATCCGACGTGCGGAAAGACTTGCGTCCAGACTGTCATCGCTAAATCTCGACTCGATTGCCACCGAACAACGTCGTGACCCGTGGATCGCCTCTCTTATCGAATATTTATCTGGCACGCCGAACCTTCCAGTATCTCGATCCCTCGGACGTCAAGCTTTCCGTTTCGCCATCCGCGATCAACTTCTTCATCGACGCAACTACGCTCCCGATGGCCGCCGGTGGCTACTGGTCATTCCACACACTTTACGATCGCAAGTGTGCGCCTCTATTCACGACGATCCGCAATGTGGCCACACCGGGGTGTTCAAAACAAATGAACGCCTTCGCCATCGCTATTACTGGCGCGGCATGTACAATTTTGTCCGCAAATTCGTGCAGTGCTGTCCCGACTGCCAGCGGCGTAAATCAACACTGCCACGTGCGACTGGCGCATTGCAGCCACTTCCATGCCCTGCCAAGCCATTTGATCGCGACGGCGTTGACCTCTACGGCCCCCTTCCATTGACACCAGATGGTAATCGGTGGATTATAGTGGCGGTTGACCACCTGACACGCTACGCCGAAACAGCCGCTTTGCCGAGCGCTGCAGCTCAGGATGTCGCTTCTTTCATTTTACAATGCTTTATCCTTCGACATGGTGCACTTCGAGAGCTCCTTAGTGACAGAGGCCGTGCTTTCCTCTCCGAGGTCGTCGAAACTCTGCTTTCGGAATGCCACGTCATTCACCGGAAAACGACAGCATACCACCCGCAGACCAATGGGCTAACGGAACGGTTCAACCACACGCTGGGTGATATGCTCTCACTGTACGTGGCATCTGATCATAACAACTGGGACCGTGTTCTCCCACACGCCACGTTTGCATATAACACCGCAATACAAACCACCACGGGATTCTCACCTTTCTTCTTTACGAACGCGAGCCTTCCCATACAATTGATATTCTACTTCCCTACCGTCCTGATGCTTCCGAGTGTCCACCTATCTCCGATGCTGCTCGACAAGCCGAAGAGTGCCGTTAGCTCACCCGTGCGTTCACCACGGAAGAGCAACAACGCCAGAAAGAAAACAGTAGCACCTCTCTTCCGGATCCCAGCTATGCCCCAAGGTCTCTCGTGTGGCTTGCCATCCCATACCAAACACCGGGACTCTCCTCGAAACTTGTCCCCCGGTAGGAGGGGCCTTACACCGTTTTGGAGAAAACCTCTCCATTTAATTTTTTAATTGAACCAGTTTCCCGATAGGACGACATGCGCCGGCATGCACGTGACATCGGTCATGTTTCCCGACTGAAACCATACCATGAGCTTCTGCCTGAAACTTCTTAAGTCGCCAGAATGGCTCCTTTTTCAGCGGGGGCGATTGTGAAGAAGAAGATGTGCCTGCAGCGAGCAGCATCGCCAACGCCAGGCTCTCTCGGCTCGTGCTTCGGTTCGCTGCTGTGCCGGTGTTCGCTGGACGGTTCATCACGCTGTTTCGCAATAAAGTTCACTGATGTTAGTAGGGACAAATCTTCGTAATGTTTTGGAAGATGCAGGAACACTCATATAAAGTTTGACTACTTGGGTGACTATGAAACAACATTTATTGCGGAGGCTCTGGTATTGGTATAATGTTCGATGAGCCGCAGAAGCACAGCTTTTTTTTTCAGTTCAGCCTTACCTTAAAAGTCAGGGAGCTCATGCTGCATCACATAGTTCATTCACTAAAGGCGCTAAAAATAATTTCAATAGAAGATTGCTTACACTGTTTCCTGCCAGAAAATATCCGTGAGAACCGTCATGATCCACAGCTGTGGCCTTCTCAATGGGGACAGCTGCTACTTTGTATGTCCAAAGGGGCTTTGACTGCAGCGACTGATGTAAAATCAAGTACTGCAAAGAATGGAAAGGTTACTTAGCACCCTCTGTTTCATTTTGCAAGCGCAAATGAAGAACTGTGTCAGTGAATTTCAAGAAACAACCTTAATGAGAACTAGCACCCAAGAGAGACACGAGGGAAAATTCAAGCGTCCACAGGCAACTGAAATTTCATTGAAAGCTAGCGCTACGGCTTCTTAAAAATTTCAGTTGTCGAGGAGTACTCGTGTCATCCCCTTCGTGACTCCCTCGGGTGTCCTAGCCTTTTTTTAAACACTTCTCGTTAAAATGTCTTACCTACTCAATCAAAAAGACTTCATTCGGTGTATTAATTAACAAAGATGATATCGAAAACGAGACTTCTCCTGATATATTTCCTATGTACTCCCCAACTAAATACACTAACCCATGATGCAAAGATGTTATTGCAAATACGTCCACAGTGTGAATGGCACAATCAACGGGTTACGTGCTCGAATATGCCATCAACGAGTGAATGTGTGTCAAATCCTTTTAAATTTATGGTGTCTGTTTCACCTATTGCTGAGCGTTCAAGTATTCGTAAAATGGGCAGTATTTGGTCGTTCGATAGCGTACAAGTAATCCTCACAACAGAGCCTGCTCTCTGCCTATTCTAACTACTTAAAGTACTTAAGCTACTTAAACTACTTAAGCTATTTAAATTACTGTAGCGCATACTTACGCTTCAACCACATATAGCGTGTCTTTTAATAATGCATATTAATTGTTTGGCAAGTACTCTGACAGAGTCACAGTGGTTACGTAACGCAAAGCCCTTCATTCAGTATTACTAAAGCCCCCCACGAGTTGTATGTGAAGCCTTAATGAGATTCTCAACCAATAATGTTTCGTAGTACTTGCACTTGGTCTAGTTGATATGGCATTGTGAAGTGAAACGATGTGCTGCATAGATGAACTGGGACGATTGACACAAGAACACGGAGGCCCTTGTACATTTTTTGTGTTCTTGTGTAATCCATCGTCGTTCATCTATGCTGTGCTTTGGTTCGGTTCGCAACCCTCAGCTGCTTTCACAAATTATCATCAATGACCTCACCATCACAGTGCATCATTTCACTTTGCAACCCACAATCACTTTCACAAGTTATCATTGATGACCTTATTGCCTTGCGAATCAATTCCGACGAAAATATTTTGGATTCATGAAGCACTAGAGAAGTTAAGTAGATTTTTGGGACGCCTCAAACACTTTTTCTTTTTTTTCTCGTCCATACCAGTGAGCTGGAAGCAAAACTACTGGGGATGGCGTGGAAAGGGAAGCTGCTTCAGTGGGCGCCACAACCTCGTGTCAAAAAAAAGCGTCGGCTCTCTCACGCTGTGATAAGTGTATCACAGTGGGCTACATGCGTGTCAAAAATCACAATCATTCATAACGCTGGTACAAATTTCTCTGAGCAATGAGCATTGCATTGCAGAAGCAGCAGTTGTTCAATGGCGTACAGCTGGTTTCACGCCGAATGATATGAGGAAGAAGCTTCTTGATGAAGAGAGGGCACTTAATGATAATTTCGTACTTATCTTGTAAACTCCACGTGCCGGGCACGATTATAACACTTCGCTGAGGTATTCACAAGACAAGTTTCCTCTACGTAGACTGTGCTTGTTCAACAAGCCCGAAGGATAGCCCAGGACCCTTTTAATGATAACTGGGGAATAACAGCGCGAGAGCATGAGTGACTTAATATGCCAGGGCTTTCGTGGCCCAATCAAAATTTGGGAATGCGCTAAGTGAAAATTTAGCTTCGAAAAGCTTTGGAGTTAGGGAAAGAGGATGAAATATGGAACTGAGCCTCTACAAAATCCGGAGGTGAGCCAGCAGGAAAACTTGGAGGTTGGCCAAATTTGGGAGGGTCGCAATCGAAATTTCGGAATAGTGCAACAGCAAAAGGTTACAGTGGATCTAATTAGAAAGCAGACCAACTATTGCAGTGCACTAATTAAAAGTCTGGAGGCAGACAAACTGCTGGACCAAATTATTGGATGAGCCTAAATTGGAAGTTGGGAGCTTGGTTTAGCTGAGGCCAGAAAGACGCATTTAGAAAATTTGAGAGTGGAGAGTAGGCTACGGCTGTTTAGAAATAAACACCGGTCTCCTCAAGTACGGCCAGAAAAGTGACTTTATATCATGGTTTTTGCCACGCTACATAAGGACGTCGACGGGCGCAGCTGTACAATGACAATAATAAAGAAGAGAACCGGTGCACCCAGACTTGTGAATAGTCTAATTATCTTGTGAAATGATAATATAACGCAATTCTCTCATGCAAAAGAGTTGTCGGCCCTTCTCCCACGGGAGAGAGTACAGAAAAGCAGGGAGAGATCCTTACTGGCAAACTGTGAACATGTGGGAGTACGAAACTTATGGGTGTGGTGATTCGAAGGTAGTATGTGAATGGGTGAAATGCAAAATGTAATAGGGCGTTTGGTCAACCGCAATACTTGCAGGCTAGGTTTAACTTGGCGGCGAGCCAACGTGAGAATTAGGGGTGAGATCAACTGGAATTGGCGGTTAGGGCAATGTTTGAGGCTGGGTGAAATAGAAAATTGGGGGGGGGGGGGGGGACCGAATTTGAAGCAGAGCTTAAGGGGGGAATTTCCACGCAGGCATGACTGTGGGCTGGGTCAAGTCATAATTTTGCGATGGACCCAACATAATGGTGTAGGCCAACAGGAAACATGAAGAAAACATGAATAAAATAAAAAAATGCAGGGTTGCCTGGTTCTGAGGGTGGGCTAAGTGGAAAACATCTAGATGGGTCGTAATTGTCTGGGCCCAATGAGAATTCGGTAACGTGAATTTTTTGGGTCAAAGTTTGCCTGCGGACAAACTGAAAAAACTTGTGCGTGGGCATGAATTAGGGAGTGATTGAAGTATAAAATTTTTGGGTAGTTCATTATTCCCAGATAAGCCAACCGAAAGATTTCGGTGAGAGTCAGAATCAGAGTTGGTCAGCTTGAAAAGTTGGGGGTTGGACGCTGCCTTAGCGCTATAAATGCATGAACGTTTTGTGCAGATGATTAAGTTCATTGTACAGTCACACGTGCTTACTCAAAAAGGCATGAGGTGGGCAAATAAAATGAAAAGTAGTCTGATAATATATCGATTTTTGAGTTACATTGAGATTGAAGTTATTACATATGGCGGAAAATTTAGGTTTAGCATTTGTTCATTCAGTAATGAAAAGCATAGCTGACTACCCGAAATAGTCTTGAAAACAGAAGTTAACCGCTGTTATATAATAAAAAGAGCAGTACAACAATGTTGGAGACTGACAGGGGATTAGTATTCAAATGCATGAAACGCCTAGCTTTTAAGCACTGCACTTTCTCACCTTATGCAGATTTCCTTTTCGGTCACCAACCCACGCCACAGTAGTTCCATTCTGCTGTGTCACTGTCAGCGATGTTACTTCGCTTTCAAGAGAGATGATCGATGTGCCCAGCAGTGGAGTAATGCCTTCAATGTAATCGTTGACACTCGGGGTGCAGAAATCGTTGTTACCGGGATTCTGGAAACGCAAGTTCAACACAGCAGTCCTGGCCGAAGCAATATTAAAATTGCAAACTGAACTGCAAGTGCAATATTTAAATACTCCTTCTTCTCTCTACGCACCAGACCATTTTGTTCCTAATTTTTACTGTAATATTTTACTCGTTACCACTATGCCGAACACAAAGTGCCCCCGCTTGCGTCGTATATTGGCTCTCCTTGCAGTATGATCAGGCTTCTTAAACACGGAAAAACTTCGTTGCATGTCATTTCGTGCAATTTATCCAGACAGTAAATGTATTAGAGCAAGAAGTGTGTTTGAGGGTATGAAGTCCTGCTCAGCGAGCACATTTATAGTTTCGATGTAATATAGCGCCTACTTGCTATTCTCAGGCTAACTCTACTAAGAAGAGATGAAACATGTGTACAGGCAAGGAAGTGTCCTTGCTTGTGTCGTATCACGCTAAAGCTCGGTAAAACGTTGTGTGTTCAATGATAATCTGCTTTTCCTTAGGCCAAGTAATTTAACGCGAAATGATCTAGTGGTTGACAAACAATCTAAAGTAATCATTGAGTGCATGAATGCAGCCTTAAAGTGGCAATTTAAAGTGCCTAAAACACACATTACCTTTATTCATGAATTTGCGGCCAATATAAAACCATACATAATAAGACAAGCTTAAGTGCGCCGAAAGATGAACAGTGGTTACGTCACCTGAGTGGAACACGGACCTGCCTCACGCGAAATAATTAGCTGTGCACAAACCTGTTCTGTTTACTCACGTCAATTTGACACGTCAGGTCGGTGCCATTGCTGAAGAGGCGGGAAAGTCGGGCTGTCTCTTGCTGGCCGTCGTTACATTTCTCAACTGTCTTGCGAAACTCTTCTTCGACACGGCTCATGTCGAAAAGACAGAGCGCAAACTTGGATCGGTTGCTTTTACCCTGATTTCCGGTGCTCGGCACGAAAGCCACGAGGAGTACTTCGTCGTCAGTGTTATCTCCACTCGTGTAAGGACTATAGGCTGCACTGGACGCGTTCATGTACTCCTGCTTGCCTTCGTGCGCGCACGTTATCAAAATCTCCGTGTACGTACGGAAAGAAGCATCACTCTCGCATACACGTGCCAGCCGTGTTTCGGGGGGCATGGGAGTCTGCGGCTTCTTCTGCACAGCCACAAAGTAGGCGAAACCCTTGTGGCTGAAACCGTGTACGTAACGAATCTTGCTGGTCTGCTTCTTGTTGCCGACTACGTTCACATACGAGGAACCCATCTTGAAGGTGTTTCGTTCGTCAAGTACCCTGGCAGACACTGCGTAAGGGTGGTACTCCAGAGGCCTATCGTCGTAAGTCGATGCGACGAACAGGACACTTTTGTTGGTGCCGAAGAAAGCGACAGTGCTCAGCCTAGAAGCGACATAGTTGACTGTGCTGTTCTTATTCATAGGCTCCGCAACCTTGAGGTCTTCCAGGGGTCTGTGAACAGAGCAAATACCCTGGGACGTCGACCCGCACGCGAGCACATGCGGAGAGGACAAGGGCAGAAGAATTCGATTGTCGTTGTCAAGTCTCGTCCTCGCGAACTTGCAGTAGTAAGGGTCAGGAGGGCACTGTGGATTGTCGTATACCGGACCAGTGGCGAAGGTAGCCAATAGAGATAAATGTTTCGCTGACAGTTTGTAGAGCACATTTCGTCCACCCACAACTATTGTGTGCTCGCTTCCAGGCAATGCTAGATATATGACATTCTGGAGGGGACCTTTAGGAGAGGAGAACTCTTGGACTGGCACCCGAGCAATGGATATTGCGAAACAAGCTGAAAGTACCAAGACTTGCATTTCACACGTCCTACACGACAGTACTATTCAGCTTAAGCGTGAGTATGGTTGAAAAGTGCTACAAGCCCTGCTTGCATGACTTCGTTGTGCTTCCCTGGGCGAAGAGTGTCTCGTTCATTGACAGGATGTCCACAGTCGCTGAAGGGAGCTCACGAATGCTCGTTCTCATCTGTGAAAAAAGAATGAAAAACACATCAGGCGTGCATGGTGATAGTGATATCACAGCGTAAGCTACAGAAACGGCCTTCTTCACCGGAGGGCCATGGCTGTGATGTAGCAATACTATAGGGTCGGATGTTTTTTGTGGTTCTGAATTATACTCGCAGCCGTCGATGTCGATCCTTTCTCTTTCGGCATCATGCAATCAACCTTGGCGAGTGAACTCTCCATGAAAACACTTTTTTGGGGTGCGTTTGTCCGTTGTCTTTGACCGCACTTTTTTCGGAAAAAATTAATTCAGCCAGACCTACGGCGTCAAATCTATCAGACAGCGAAACTGTTATTGCGGAAAGTCGACATCATCTCCATTAGCATCATCCTAGTTTCGAAAATCCTTATAATCATTTCGCTTCATTCATTCATTCGCTCCTCCCTCTGGTCCCGTCCCCTGCGTTACGCAAACTATTTGGTTCTACTACTCCTCTGTTGACGGTGATTGATGACACAAGGCAGACTTGTTACAGTTTCAGTTTTATTAGTTATGTATGCATCGAGTTGACATCAGTGAAGTCAAAATGCTTTATATCGGTGCTCACGGATTAAAACGCGGCATACTTTTTAGTGTCATGACTAGTATGCGCTATTGCTCAAGATAATCACTTCATGTCGCGAGTAACGTGGTCTTTAAACATAATTTTCGCTCTGATCTACGTGTTTAGGAGAAAAATGTGCCGACGAAAACTGAACCCAATACAATGAAGCCAAAATTGTGTATGTTAATTAGCTCAAACATGTTCAGCACTGTACACCTGAGGGTCTGCGTGCCATAAAATTTTGCCTCCAGGATGGAGCCATGAGCGGGTCCAGCACTTTCTTAAATTGCGCAGCGCCATTGTCTACCCAAAAGTTCATTCGTCGTAATTGAATAGTACAATGACTCAGGTATTAGGAAGTCACGGATTCCTTCGAAGCTCCAGCACTTGGTTGAGTAACTGTGTTGCCAATCAAAGTTTGGGAAATACGCTTCGCCAAGGTCAAATTTATGTCTCTACACTGTATAACATATGTACGGACAGGCGAAAAAAGAACGAAAACAGAAAATAGTAAAATAGATCAATTGACAGTCGTTATCGCGCATTATCCGTTTGGGGCAAGGAATGTTTATCGCTCGTAGCTGTTTTGCCTTCTTGTTGACTGAACTTGTTATTCAGGAGAGAACACCTGAGAACACTGAGTGTTTTTCTGTTTTGAATACATACTTTTTCTTAGGATGACAAAGATGTATTACCTTTGTGGTGATCTGCTTAAAATGGCCTACACAACCAACCACGGACGAAAACGATTCTTCTATTGTTGCTCAATATCACTTAAAACAAGTCGCCGATAAATGGACGGTTGTCTAGTGTCTGGCTTGTTATGGCTTGCTTTTCGCAATTGCGTGTAAACCGACGATGGCTGATGAAGGTAGCATGGCGTAAATTTTCTGTGCTCGGGTGGGAGATTTTGAGTAAAGTTGGTTCCCAACATCACGAGTGTTTCGGGACCGATGTTCAGAATTTCAAGGCATTTTTACAGAATCCCTCGGCTTTTAAAAAAGCGATGTCCACTGCCCATTTCGTAGCCACTCGTGCAAGCACATGGTGGAAATAGAGGTGGCATATTTCAGCTGTTTTTCCTGTCACACGTGCGACACTGAAACATCTCTCGCAAGCGATCACCATTCGGAAATAAACGCGAAAGGAAGCAAGCGAGCACGATGAAGCGTGGCATGCGTCGCGAGTGGCCACCTGGCTTTCTGTTCTCGACGATACGTAAAGCAAAATGAAAACCTGCGAAACGGTTCCGCTACCACCAACCGTCTTCCTGTCTATACCACCGACCGCTTGCGCAGCGTGTTGGCTTATCGCTTTTGTCAAATATTCGTGGCCCGCACGCACATCTACACCGTGCCAAACGTTTCGTGATCACCTGGAGGTGCCCGTGGTTTCAATACGGCTTAGCACAGTAAGGCGCTGCATGACCCTTTTAACATTACGAGAATGTCACAATGCTGTGCTATCCAAAATCTTGATGGGAGCTGACAGATGGAAACGACGTAGTGGAATAATTTCCAGATGAACAGTGGAAGTGCCTCAGAATGACTGGCCGGCGCTTCGATAGAAGGACCCATTTTTTTAAGTCCTCCTATTGAAACGTCGGCCAGTCAGTCGAAGGCACTTCCACGGTTCATCTTATGATTATCCTAATGCTGTGCTATGTGTTTTCGAGTATCCTTCTTCGGTTCCTTGAAACCCGCAAACAGCACCTTCTTTATGTCATGCCATGCCCGTGCAAACGCGCTTGTCCACGGCCGCCGTCAGTCCGCCTTCGTTCAGGGAGTGGTCGTTACGCGACGCCCCATGAGGGGTAAAGCTTAAGTTCCTGAAACTTCGCAAAGTAGCGACACTCTCCTCCTCCTCCACTCTCGTTTTTTCTCGGTCTCCACCGTTTCGCGCTCTTTTCATACGTGGCGCCACCTGCCTTGCTCCTGCGTAGTAGCCGCCGTTTCGCAAAGAGAGTGCTTTCTAGCTATAGGCAGAACGCTGAGAGCATTCGCATCAGTCATCTATCTCACGCTTAATTTATTTAAACAAGTGTAACGTTAGCCTATGACAGCTCTCTTCCGAGTCGGATAGGGTATACAACATTGTAGCCACTCTGAAGCACATGGACGAGTTAAACAATTGTATTTATTAAGAGTGAACTTGTGCCTATAACTGAAAAGGTGGTGGTCTAACACTGTATAAGAGTCAGTCGAGCTACAGTGTATTGTAGTCGAGCTCCAAAGAGGCCCGTCAACTGTCTTCTTTCTCTCTGTGAGAAGTTCGAACTCGTGGTGCATACGAGCCGGGTCCGGCCCGGTGCTTGTGCCACGATGGTCTCTGCGCAGCACAACAATACCGAATGTATGTGTGCCCTGTGCGAATGGTGATAAGTGCTTCATTTAAATGCAGCAACATGTCACGGACATTGTGCAGAAAGCATTCACAATAGCTGTCAGGGGAAGCAACAACTCACGTTGACGCTCCACGTGGGACGGCAATATCACCGACGTTCAACTTTTGCGGTGGTCGAAGCATGTAAGACGCTCCAGAAGGTGTACATCATTTAAAGTTCATGGCCTCGACCAACTGTGGTTGTTTAGTTGAGTGGTTAAACGCATAACCATATTCCGCAAGTGCGGCTCATGGACGCATCTGACATACTAACCATACCGCTGAAATAACTAGTTAGGGAACGAGTGAACGAGCGTGCAACCGTAAGCGAATCGTTTGCGAGAGCTTCAGTCACGGATATAATCTTTCACAGAAAGTAGGCAGCAAATCTTCGCGCGAAACGGCACGTACACGTGAGGTTCCTAAACAATGAACGCACCCACCGACTTGGTAAGTCATGCACGCTTTGCATTGCTACCCTCGCATCGCTAGCCACCCGGCTGCTTGGCAATGTAACAGAGCTAGTGAAAACAATTGGCGCTGAAAAAATAACGAGCACGCGACAAAGAAAGCAAAGAAAAGTACCAGTGTTAATACAAGTTTTCACACTTAAATTTTTGCTTTATTCAAAACAGCATTGCAAAACCCTTCAAGTTCAGGTATCTTATTCTCGGTCATCCTTCCGCGTGTATGCGAAGTGCACAAAACGATACCATGAACTCAAGCCAGTCGACTCTTAACGCCAAGCGAAGAACGTAACCACGTATTGTTGACGAAAAAAACAGACCCCAAAGAAGCATTAATGAAACCAGAGTCTGAGATGGCGATGCACCATGCAATCAGCTGTGACATGTTTAATCAAGTACTTCTTGCGCAAAACGTTTTAGACACCGGACGAAACAGTCACGGACGGCCGAACCTAACTCGAACTTACACCTTCTTATGATATGTGTATATGGCGTTACAGGGGGCATCGATTTAAGCCTTGACTCATACTCATAATGAGCAACTCGCACCTTAATTCGCAAAGTCGAGTCTAAAATGTCGGCCTGAATTATCACTTAAGATTTTCTGCAGCCATGTCTTTTGTCAAAACTCGTTCCACTCGCTTAACGGGTGGTATTATGAAGGCCTTCTCGCCGTCACTAGACTGGCTTTGGTATCAGAACGCGGAACAGCAACCGATGGCAACCAAAAGGACTTAATTCTTGGGTGAACAGTATTTTGATGAACAACGCACACGGAAATACAAGTGCGCATCCGTACAACAGATGCAGTGTACACCAGCGTGTTCGCTCTCCGAGAACATAGATGGCAGTGGCGGATCCAAAGGGGGGGGGGGGTGGTAGGGGCGGTCGCTCCTCCCGAAACCTGTGAGCACCCCTCCCCCTCCCTTCATTGCGTGCCCTCCACCTGCTATCACCCATTAGGACAAATGAGTGGGATCTCTTTGAGCACACATTAACAGTATTTATGCTACAGAGTTTTTGTGCTAATAAAATCAAAATAAGTAATGACCACGCCCTCCACCTCCCCCCCCGCTCCGGTGTTACATTCGGGCAATCTCCCACTCACCCCCTTTAAAAGGAGTGGCTGGATGCGCCCCTGAATGACGGTAGTCGAGAGTGACTGTAAATAAGCGATCGCTGCGAGCAGTCCCACGTTACAGCATCTGGCCAATACCGACATGGTGGCAGCCACGGAGAGGTCAAAGGAAGGAAAAAAGAGGGAATGGGCATCTTTCACTACATAGGTCACTACTTAACGAAGTTCAATGGGGTTTCGGCAGGATTAGGTATAGGGCTGCCTGCGTCACACGAGCGTCCGACGCTTTCCCGTGGAGATTCATAGACACGTTTCCCTTTCCAAAACCATACGTGTGTCAGATTTGTTCCTTCGTGCTCATTCTTTGTGGCTCGAAGCAATGGCGCCGCCACCTCACTGTACTCATTACGCAGTAGCGTCACAGTGACAACTCCCCATTGGTTGCCCGTATAGCGCCACGAACGGAGACACGCTATGTCTCTTGCTGAGG